CCCGACATTGGTGACCCGAACAAAAGACGAACACGTGCAAATCTCAGGAGCTTGGACCGAGCAGCTACAATCCGCTAGCATCGAAGAACATCGCACACGGATTGTACGGAAGTGGACAGCTACAGCATCGAGGGGACAGATTTAAAGTGAGGATACAATTTTATCCAGCAAAATACTTGATTTTGTGGATTATTCGACCACGTGTCTCGCTAACCCTAACGCTCGAAGCATAAAGGCACACGGATCGTCGCAACAAAAGTTTCTTTTCGCAATTGTAAGTACGAACTTTTTTTTGGTTTTCTCGAGCGGTACCCCCAAGAAGAAATGGAACCCTCGCAATCAGGGACAATCGCCAAAGTTTCTGTTAAACCACCTCCCTTTTGGAGAGCGAACCCAGAAATTTGGTTCAAACAAATGGAATCACAATTCTCACTAGCGGGAATCACCATGGAAGTAACGAAATTCCATCATGTGGTTTCGGCACTCCAGCCCGAGGAGTTAGCAGTCGTAGCCGATATTATTCTAAACCCCCCAGTGGACAAGCCGTACGAGGCTCTTAAAGCCCGTCTGTGCCGACAATATGCCGACAGTGAGGCGCAAAGGCTTAAGGACTTAATTTCGGGAATGCAGCTTGGGGACAAGAAGCCATCCAGACTGCTGTTAGAAATGCGTAGCAAGGCATCAGCGCACATAGGTGACGACCTGCTAAAGTCGCTGTTCTTACAACGGTTACCATCTAACGTCCAGCAGATCCTAGCCATCTCAAACGACAGCCTCGACAAACTGGCAGAGATGGCGGACGGTATAATAGCTGCAGCCGATAGCCCTGTTTCCGTACAAGCAGTCACTCAGGGAGACCAAACACTACAGACGTTACTTTTAGATATCTCCTCCCGCCTGGAACGACTGGAAGGTAGGGATAGATCCCAATCTAGATAGAGATCCACGAACCGCCGGAGACGATCAAAGAGCCGCGAAGGGGCGCAGAAAGAAGGCCAATGCTGGTACCACTAGCGATTCAAAAGAAAAGCACTGAAGTGCACAAAACCCTGCAGTTTCCAACAGGGAAACTAGAAGGGCCGTCACTTGACGGTGCGGGTGGCGGCGCACTAGGAATACACCGTTTATATCTATATGACCAATCAACGGCCAAACGCTTCCTGGTCGACACGGGGACAGATGTGTTAGTCATCCCCGTGCCACAGGAGCAAGCAAACCGATCGCCCGAGAAATTACAACTTTTCGCTGGTAATGGGACAACAATAAATACCTTCGGCCAGAAGCTTTTCAAACTGGATCGAGGCCTCAGAAGAACCTTTCACTGGCCATTCATCATGGCAGCAGTCTCTCAACCCATTATCGGAGCTGATTTTTTACGCCACTACGGGTTACTAGTAGACATTCGCCGCAGCTGCCTAGTCGATCCACTGACTAAGATGAACTCAAGAGGAAAAGTTACAGTGGGCTCACCAGCCGCCGTTAGATCAATAAGGGAAGACACGTTTTTCACAAACTTTTGGCGGAATTTCCCAATCTGACGGAGGTTGCCACAGCACCCCACCCGGTAAAGCATAATGTGCAACACCACATAGAAACGAAGGGACCCCCAGTTTTCTCAAGGCCTCGACGATTACCGCCTGAAAAACTTAAAGCAGCAAGGCAAGAATTCGAGTATCTAGTCGCACAAGGCATCTGCCGCCCCTCGAAAAGTAGTTGGGCTAGCCCATTGCATATGGTGCCTAAGAGCAACGGGGACTGGCGCCCTTGTGGCGATTTTCGAAGACTTAACACAGCTACCGTCCCAGACCGATACCCCGTACCACATATGCAAGACTGCGTACAAATGCTGGAGGGAAAGCGAATATATTCAACATTAGACCTAGCAAAGTCATATCATCAGATCCCTGTCAAAGAGGAGGACATTCCGAAGACTGCAGTCACTACTCCTTTCGGACTTATTGAATACCTGTTTATGCCTTTCGGCCTTTCAAATGCAGCTGATACTTTCCAATGCTTCATGAACCAAGTGCTACAGGGATTAGAGTTTTGCGTCCCATACTTCGATGACGTACTAATCGCCTCAGCCGATGCGACAGAACATTTACAACATCTTCGCATAGTGTTCGAATGCTTCACACAATATGGCGTGAAGCTAAATGCCTCGAAATGTGTTCTAGGAAAATCAACCATTCCATTCTTGGGCCACTTGATATCCCCGGCGGGCATCACGCCATTGCCAAGCAAGGTAGCAGCAATTAAAGAATGCCCGAAACCTACTACAATCAAGGAACTTCGTCGTTTCTTGGCAATGATCAACTTTTATAGAAGGTTTATTCCCCAGGCAGCCCACACGCAGGCAAGCTTACATGCCTATCTAAAGGGGACAAAAAAGGGGGATAAGCGAAACATCGAGCTGACACAAGCCGAAACAGAGGCTTTTGAGAGGTGCAAATCGGATCTAGCGGAAGCCGCCACACTGGCTCACCCATCACCAAAGGCACCACTGGCAATCATTGTCGATGCATCGGACACGGCAATGGGAGCTGCGCTACAACAGCAAGTGTCAAGCAGTTGGCAGCCATTAGCATTTTTTAGTAGGAAGCTCTCGCCGACACAAAAAAAATACAGTGCCTATGACCGGGAGCTCTTGGCTGCATACACGGCCATCAAGTACTTTAGGCATATGGTTGAAGGTCGACCGTTTATATTATTCACGGATCATAAACCACTGACTTATGCCTTCCAGCAAAAAGCTGACAAGTGTTCTCCGAGACAACTCAGACATTTGGACTTCATCAGTCAATTTACTACAGACATTCGTTTCGTAAAAGGATCGGACAACGTAGTAGCAGATGCTCTCTCACGCATCGTTATCTCCACCATCGAGACACCATCGTTTATAAACTTCCAACAGATGGCGGTAGCGCAACAAGGAGACACAGAACTACAAAAATTCCTAAGTAATACACCTAACTCTCTTAAGCTCCAGTCGCTGCCAGTAGGAGAGCCAGCTGTAGACCTATATTGTGACGTTTCCACCGGCCGGATACGACCTTTCGTACCCAAGGACTTTCGTCGGCAGGTTTTTAACCAACTTCACGGACTTTCTCACCCAGGTGTTAGAGCTTCAATTAAACTCGTTCAAGAACGGTACGTATGGCCATCAATGAGAGCCAATGTGTTGGCATGGGCTCGCGCATGCATTCAAAGCCAACAAGCGAAAGTCTCTCGACACACCCGGAGCCAGTTGGGCCTCTTTATCGCGCCCAATGCCAGATTCGAACACATCCAAATCGTCTTAGTAGGACCCTTGCCGCCATCAGACGGATACAGATACTGTCTCACCTGTGTTGACCGTTTTTCTAGATGGCCAGAGGCATTCCCTCTAGTCGAAAGCACTGCACAAGCAGTAGCAGAGACGTTCTACTCCGGATGGATAGCCCGTTTTGGCCTACCACTGCGCCTAACAACGGATCAGGGAGTGCAGTTCGAGTCCTCGCTTTTCTCAGCTTTTACTTCTTGGTTGGGAACGAAGAGGATTCATACAACTCCCTACCATCCAGCTGCAAATGGACAAGTAGAGCGGTTCCATCGCCAACTTAAATCTGCTATAATGGCTCATTTCACCAGCCGTTGGACTGTCGCACTCCCGACAGTACTCTTAGGATTTAGAGCCGTTTGGAAGGACGACATACAGGCGACAGCAGCAGAGATGCTCTACGGAGCCTCTTTGCGGATCCCAGGTGAATTTCTCTCTCCAACACAGGACCATCCCGACCCGGCGACCTTCGTCGGCAGGCTGAGAGAAGAAATGCGCAAACTGAGACCCGTCACACGTCCACACAGAAATGCTGTGGTGTTCGTGCACAAAGACCTTTCCTCCTGTGCACACGTCTTTCTAAGAACTGACGCAGTCCGAAGAGGACTGCAACCACCTTACGAAGGTCCATACCGTGTGTTAAAGCGTGGACCCAAAAACTTCAAACTGGAAGTAAAAAAGCGTCATATTACTGTCAACATCGATAGACTCAAACCCGCATACATATGTGCGGATGACTCAACGTTCTCCCCATCTACATCAACAACAGCTTCAGCAGAAACAGCAACAACAGAGGCAACAACAACGGTACCCCCAGCAGAAGCTTCGCCACAGCAACAGAAAACTGTCACACGTGCAGGTCGTCGCGTAAAATTTAACCCCAGGTATTTGTAAATATCTCGCTATCGCTGGCGGGGGACTACTGTTGCAGTTGCGAACTACTTCTTGTTGCAAACTAAATTCTTGTAAATAGTCAACATTTCTGTAAGGCGGTAAATTGCCCGGAGCATCAGCCCATGAAGACACTTCTGGGCTAGCTACCGAGACTACCAGTCACCCCTACGCTACGCTCCACGAACTGTGCTACCGCTCGTCAAAAAAGGCTAAAAAGATTGTAAGATTGGAGTCAGAATTTTATCTACTACTAGTTAATAAAGATGCTATGTCTTTTATGTTACAACATGTCGGTTGATTTACTTTAACCGGGCAGTTGGGGATACAAACCCGACATATTAAATAAACATTTAAATTAATCTTTTAACACACACATATATATATACTGTATATATGTACTGTACATATAATAGTGAGGTTGGGTCCGAAGTTTTCATTTCTAAAACGTCAGCCCCGAGCGCCATATTTCTAATACCTGGATTTACTGTAAAAGATACGTTTTCTTTTTCTTTGTTTATATATTTGATTCAATTGTATCTACACTTTCTGCAGAAACAATTGAATCAAACGTAATTTTTTTTCAAATCGAGTTCTTCCCTCATACCATATTCAAATATCAATTTTTGATAGAAGGCATCTAGCGCTATTGAACCTTACAATGAAAACAAATAAACAAAAAAGAGTAAAGATCATTTTAAACCTCTCATACAACAGATAATTAAAATTTACCATTAAAAATATTTTCTGCTGTTTCCTTTTCCATTAATAGTTGCAATTTCATTCGTTCGTATGAGAAAGACACTTTCGTCATAGAATCAGCCATGTTGAATCAACGCAAAGTTCAACAGCGGACTAGCTAGCATTCCGAGCTTATCAGTTTCGCTAAACATGACGTCACATAGCTCTAAAGTAAACGCCAATGAGCGTGGCGCTCAGACAAACGTATACAGGTTGAGTGCTGACAGTAAAATTAGCTCAGAAGTAAACGCACCCCTATGTAGCCAGGATGTAGCGAAAATCACGTCACGAGCAGCTATCGCTACACGTCGCTGCAATCACTGATGAAGGTATTTTAACAACGCACACAGAGCTTCGGGATAACATCGAGATTCGCTACTTTAAAATTGCAGCGCTGCAATTTTAAAATAGCGAATCTCGATGCAGCTTCTTTCTGTAGCATAAAGTAGATAGTAAAACATTTTAAATATAAAAGTTTTACCAAATATTTTATTTTACTAATGAATATTTTAAAAGAAAAATTAGTACAAATAGAATATCGAATCAAGGTGATCAAAACCTTACACTTTTATTGTCACATCATATAAGAAATCAACTTCGCACATTTTCCCTGTGGAGGCAGCCATCTTCTTGCAGCGAGAAAAGCAACCGAAACAAGCGCTGCAGGTTTAATCTCGAACCAGTGAGACCGCTGCAAAGATCGCTGTGCAGCGGTCTCACTGGTTCAATGGCAGCAATGCTTTTATCTAATGATTTGAACCTGGCAACTTTTCTAACTATTGTTATGAAAGTGCTTGGGGACGATAAGAGTTAAAAATTAAAAACAAAAAAAAGCTTTGTATCACTTAAAATAATTTTTAATTTTTCTTCCACGCAGTTAGTAAGAGCACAAAAAAATGCGTCATAACTTACACAAAATTGTCATACGTCATCACTTGGTGAAATCGAAAACAATTCGAAATTTCGAAATCCGAAGAATCGTGTGTATCGAAGAAGTCGATAATTGAAAATGGCCAACGTCCAGTTCTTCAAAACTCCTTACGCAATGTTCAGAATCTTTGAATTGGTAAGATTAAATTACGGGTAACATAATAAAATAAGTGATATATTATATAATTAAGTTATTTATTTACAAATTACATTTTAAATTCTGATTAAACATTCAATTGCTATTGTTAACACTTGAGAAATAGTTATGATGTAAGACATTAAAACATATTTATGGTAATTCAACATTTTATATATATAAAAGAATAACGCAAAATAATTGAAAGTTTGCTTTCTGTATTCTGATTCTTTCTGAAATTTACAACTTTCACAACGAATCAATTCGAATTATAGAATAAACGTTCGAAAATTCCAAAATCGCGCAGATTTGGTAAACTTGTAATTATGATGTGACATAACTGCAAATACTGGTATTTGTTATAATTTATGTTATACAGTATTTTATTATTTCACATTATCATTTTTATTATTTACATTATCACATTTTATTATTTCACATTATTTGTTAATAACTGCCTGTTTTTGACAAGGCATGCAAAACTGTTCTACAATTATTCCATTCAAAACATATGCTATAGTTTGCTTTAACTCGGCTACTGTCGAAGATCATAGTGTTTATATTTTTCTTTTTCATGATGTTTTACAAATTTTTAATAGGATTTAGTCAGTCGAGTTTTCTGATGCTTAAAACATCACCTTCCTGCTCCCCAAACCACACCTTTGTTGATTGTGATCCATGTCATGATCCTTGTGGAATATTTTTCTAATCTTAGTAAGGTTGTAGGATCACTTCGTCAAAAATGATATATAGAATTTTGATACACCTGAAAATAAAACACATTTTTACTCTTAGGTGTAATATTCTCCTTATTTACCATTGTAATCGCTTCCTTCGTTCTTTATCAGCTAACAAGAGATTTTTTAAAATAAATTAATGGAAATCCATTTCTTTTAATATAAGCTACGTTGTTCTGTACTGTACATCTAGGTGACGCGATTCCACTTTCGTGCCACATTTACTTAGTTCGTTAACATTTTTGAAGCGATGTTAGTAGCAAGATTCTGTAAGACATTATCATTGTACTGTTTTGCATTTTCGTCCATAATTATTTCCTTTACTTCCTGCTCACCATTCTTATACCACTTTCATTTTATAAACACTGACTGAACTTTAACGTTTTTTCTATTTGTTATTGTTATTTCTATGCAAAATATTCATCATACACCACATTTTTTGATAAAATTCTGCATGCTAAAAAATTAAGAATTTTAGACCTTTATTGAACATTTCAGTTAATATTCCAAGTACGTTCAAATTCCTACGCGAACTTTTAACATTATATAATAAAAACCAAAAAATTAAAATACTCTATTCTTATCCTAAAAAGTAAAGGACAATTGATTATTCCATTTATATCTTTTGAATTCTTTGTTAATGCAGTTTTAATACTTAGATGAAGAAACTTACTTCGTACTTGCAATATTCGAACATTTTGAAATGCCCTTGTATATTCTCTGTTATGTAAAATGGATGGATTGTACTGTACAATGGATATTTAAATCATGTTTGCCTTGTTTAAGAAGAAAAATTATTACGAATTCATTAATTTTTAGATTTATTTGAGAAGCAAAGAATAAGTATAACGCTCATAATATTTTTTTTTCAGCTATTGTCAATTAGTGGAATCGTTACTATTTCAAATTCTTTCTACTGCGGTAATGTTTTCAGAGCAGAGTTCTACGAATCCGCTTGTATCGCTGCTGTGATCTTTATTGTAATCTTTGTAATACTCTATTTTTTCAAAATGATCGATTATTTTTCTCAATATTTCAACGTGGGAATATTGGTAAGTAAAATATTTGAATGATTATTACTTTATCAGATCAAATTAAAAATTTACAAACAATATCGCATTTTTAAATTACTGTAGATGTTTATAATCGATCTCATTTTTACCGTCGTGTTTGCAATTTCTGGAGTTTACATGATATTCAGCATTGTCAAGTGTTCGAAAGTTAGAATAGCAAGAATTTTTGCTGCTGTAAGTTAGCTTTAATCGATAATTATAACTAGTTACGTTAATAATTGAAATTTTTATGGTTGCAGATTATAGCAATGCTGACTTGTGCCTGTTTCTTTACTTCTTCATCTTTCGATTTTCGTTGGTTTCAAGCAAGTCAACCTTTCTGAGGCATTTTCGTTGTGCACTTGTGCAGAAAACATACGTTTATGCAAAAACTGTTCATTTCTCGTTATTTTCGTATTATAGTATATATCTGATTAGTTTCAATTCACTTAATTTTAATTGTTTATGCATCGATTATTTATCAATAATTTTAATGACATCTTATAAATAAAATATAATCTTGAATATTTAGTTTCACATTAATATGTGTAACATCTAATACTTATATTTCCATAAATAAAATATTTTGTTAAATGCTTATACAGTAGAGCATCGATTATCCGACTCAATTGGGGACTCAGGTTGGTCGGATAACTGAAAAATCGGATAAGCGAAAAGAAGGGAAAAATACATAATTAGTATAGTATATTAGGATATTAGTATATCCCATGTAATTAGTTTATTAGTATATCGCTATTAACCAACTTCACGTTGAATTTTCATCGATGTATAGCTTAACAATTTTTAAAAAAATAATAATCGTCGCTATTGTATCGTTAAAAATTATTTTTAAATTATTTTATTTCTCACGGAACAAACAACCACTCATAATTAGAAAATTAAGTCTCGTTTAAATATTGCCTCCCTTCAATGGTCGAGCCGTTGATGCCAGCTAAAACACGCAAATATTTAACAAAAATAATATTAAAGTAGCCAAGATATAGCCATATATTGTAATGCCGCATCACTAGCGGACATTTGAAATTTGCCGACTAGAATGGTCCTTTAACCGAGGTGACGGTTAATCGGGGGTCGGATAATCGATGCTCTACTGTAATTTTTTATGTATTTCAGATTCTGGCCATTTGAATCTATCTACTGTGTGTGTATATATATGTTGTATATATTAATCAAATCTTTGTATGAGTATTACTTACACCCTCGAATCGACACTAAGCTATATATTACCCCAAAATACAGTATTCGGGTAGTATATAACTTTCCAATTCTTTTTATAAGCGCCATCTGTTGGCAAAAATAATAAATAAATGCTAATTGTTGGATTGATGGGAATAGATTAAAAGTTTTGATTTGTTTGAAAAAAGAATAACCATTTATTCACTTTTAATGTTTCAATGAAAGTGAGTAAATTGTGATTCTTTTTTCAACAGACTGTGTATTCAATTTAATTTTTAAACTTAATCTTCTGTATGTGTTTGTGTGTGTGAGCGGCACCATTTTGTTCACCCAATATAAACTTTAATAACTCTTGTGGCTTTTGCGAAAATTCCTGAAATTTTGTTTCGCGTATTTAAATTTAGGTGGTTAAAAGTCAAGGGGTGGGAGATAGAAAGGGTCATATGTCATATCTAGAGTGAGTTGGACTTAATGAAGATTTTACTTATTATTAACATTTGCAGTTTTTTTTATTTTGTAAATCTCATCTCTATTCTCAAAATTAACTATTTTACCATTTTATAATAATATAAAACTTTAAAATAAAATCTTATAACAGATGGTTCACACACAATTTTAAGTTTTTTACCGGAAAAGTTACGCTACTCATTGCTGAATTTCTGTAATAAGTCTGCTTATATTCAAACGTATATATTAGAGTTAGTCAGTCTGTAATGCAATGTATTGATAACTTTATTGTATTAGATCTTTAAGCTTAACTACACAGAAGCTGGTTTCTTTGCTACTAAAAGTTCCACCAAGACAAACAGCGAGGATTATACGGTACTTAAAACCTGAATAAAAAATTGAGATTACAATGTATACCTGATGAGAGTTATATATTTAATATGATTTTTAAGAATATAGATTTGTAAAGTATACAAATAGTTATAAATAATATTTATGTAAGTTTAATGAACTATAACAAAATATATTGAAGAAATTCACTCGAATGAAGAAGTTCTTTTTAACATAAAAGATTCCGCCGATGCTTACTCCAAATGGAGTTTTACCAAATCTTTTCTTAAAAGTCAGCATCTTTTTAAAGAAATAAAATTGATTGTTAATATAATAAGTTTATAAGGCAAGCAAAATAATGTTTCTTCGCTTGTATCACCTTCATTTTTGTTTCTAACGGTAGATTATCCAAATCCAAATCAAATTTATTAAACATAATAGGCCATAGCCTGTTATAACAGGGTGTTAGATTTACATTATATCAAATTTATATCGACATTAACGATAATTGTATAAAACCAAGTATCATGTAAATACAATACCTATGCATATCAGGTTTCTTACATAAAAATTAGTAAAGCTGATTACAAAAAACGTTTTGCGAAATTATACAATTGGTATATCATTGTAGTGTTTGCTAAATGAAATAACCGATACATTTGATTTTCCTCCTTAAAGGTATTTTAGTTGATTTAGTTCACCATTAATTCTTAGTTTTGGCCTTCCTAGCATTCACAAAACATATTAAATTTAGTCAGTATTTGTTTGCATCTTGGACAGTATGTTTTCGAGAATTTATAAATTTTATTATTTATCATAATCATCTTTTTATTTAAATCTAAGTTAGATATAGAATTTCTTGATTACAAACGGTATATTAGATAACATGTAGATATTATTAAAGGGGTAATTCAGAATAATACTGTACCACTCTGGTTCTTTCCGGTTGTACATTTCTCCAATGTCTTGAGATAGAGCAATTTCCAATGAATTTTGAATTAGTTGAGTTTTAATCTGGTCGCTAATTTCTGATTTTACCAGCAGCGGAGTTATAGAAACTCCAAAGTCGTTGACAATATTTGTAATTTGGTTCACCTCAAGAACTTTTTTGCGGATTTTGACAATATTTTTGATATCAAAAACAATTTAGAAGGTAAATTTCCATTATCTCTAATCTTGAAAAGAAAATTGATGAACCTTTTTACAAAGAAGGGAGTTAATTTGAATCTGTTAAGTTCTAGTCTGAGTGCATATCCAGGAATATTATATTCTAGAGTAAAAATTTTGCGAATGAATTTATTTTGAATTATGTCAAATTTTTTATAACTTGTAAGGCTCCAAATTGGAGAGGCATAGCCTATGGCATTGACGATTATCGAGTTAAATAGTCTAAAGTGAATAAATATATTCTTAAGTTTAATTTGGGAAAACTTCACCATATTATTGATCAATAGGTTAGATTTAGAAATCATTTTTTTATACTGTTTTTCGAAAGTTAGTATAGGAGTCAGAACTATTCCCAAAAACTTGACTTCTTGTACTATCTTAAGCTGTACGTTGTTTAGATAAAAGGATGACAGTCGACCTCCCTATAACATTGTTGATTATTCCGTTTTATATGAATTTCATGTTGTACGAGTCACTTAGATTTTACAAATACGTGAGCCGTTCACAGCCCGGCTCACGTATTTGTAAAATCTAAGTGACTCGTACAACATGAAATTCATATAAAACGGAATAATCAACAGTGTTATAGGGGGTCGACTGTACTTTTTTCAGCAACTCTAGAACCATTCCAAAAAATCATTATTGAGGATTTGCTTGGATTAATTTTTAATTTATCGAAATATTCGTGAGCTTTTTAAATTTTTCTACGAAAAGCTGCAGCGGTGGGGGTAACTAACACAACATCGTCAGCATATGATATAGAGTGAAGTACTTGGCCATCAATAGATAATCCATCGTCTTCACGGTCGAAACATTCATTTATATCAAACAAAAGTTAAAAAGATACGGAGACCAAGGGTCTCTTTGTAATAGACCTCTATCCACTTGTAGAGATGTCCACTCCCTGTTAAAATGCTTAATTTTCACATTATAATGACCGAATAATTCTCCAATTTTTCTTAATGTTATCATCCGCACCATATTTAATTAATTTATTTTGTAATATTGTTATAAGTCAGTGGCGTACCGTGGGTGTCAGCCGCCCGGGGCGGAGGAAAATTTCGCCCCCTCTTATTTAGGTATTTCAAATTTTCTGTGACGAAACTGAATTTTGGCCTTAAAAGACCAAAATTCAGTTTCGTCACAGAAAATTTCTGAAGTGTTTCCGTCACAGAACAAGCAATGAAAAATTCGGTGGTAGTGCCGCGACCTGTTTAATATAGTTCTATTGGATATTATATGAACGCGTACAGGCAAAAAAAGAGGTCAACAGGTTTCGTAGAAATTCCTCGGATGAAAAAGCTACTAGTTTTGCCGCCCCTAAATGGTAATTTTGCCACCCCCTAAAAAATGCCGCCCGGGGCAGGCCGCCTCTGCCGCCCCCACTACGGCATGCCACTGTTATAAGTACGGAATCGTACTTATAACAGTGGCGTGGAAAAATAAAGCATTGCATGGCCAATTTCTGTAGAAGAGCGAAGACAGTGTGGATGACAGCAAAACGTGGCAATGGTTAACATCCGAAACATTGAAAAAAGAAACAGAAGGCCTCATTTTAGCTGCTCAAGATCAAGTTATCCAAACGAATGTAATCAACACCAGAATTGAGAAATCATCAGATGATGCAAAATGCAGACTGTGCAAAGAAGTTGATAAAAGTGTAGATCATGTTCTCAGCTGCTGTAAAACGATTGCCAAAACCGACTACAAACTTTCGACATAATTCAGTGGCAAAAATGATTCACTGGAACTTATGCAAAAACTACAATCTGTCTGACTCTAAGAACTGGTGGAAACATCAGATTAAAGAATTCACTGGAAATTACATCAGAATATTGTGGGATTTTCGAATTGAAACAGACAAAGCACACAACACATTGGACATTACCGTCATTGAAGAGAAGCAAGTATGGATAATTGACATAGCCTTACCAGGTGACAGCAGAATGGAAGATAAGTAACAGGTTTCACAATGGCGTTTGGAACGTCGAGCATGATTCCACTGACCGTTCCAAACGCCATTGTCAAACTTCTAGGCTTACAGGAAGGCGGTGCTAAACGTCCGACATACACGTTTTCGCGTTGTAAACGTCGTCCGCAACCTCTCTATTAAAGAAAATAATACAATAATAAACTTACACATAAATTATGTGATTAACGTTATACAATCTTATTTATTGCAACAACTTAAACTGTTATGGCATTTTGAATTGCACAAGAGTCCCTTGCTTTTACAACTGCATTTATTCGTAAAACACTTATTTTTTCAATGACAGCGTGTATAGCCTTGCCCTCCACTTTTCGAATTAGTTGCAGCTGCTTCTCTCAGCGATACTTCTTGAAAAGAAATCTCATCTATGGAAAATAACTTTTCTTTACAAATTACGAACTGATTATGTTGTTACGTGATTACGAACTGATCTGTTAATGGTGTCTTTTATTCAGATATCGCCAACGTCTTACCGACGACCCTTCTCATCCTCCGCCACTCGACCTGACAAACCGATCCCCACCTCACGGGATCAAAAGGACAAA